AGCATCACTCTGCACTGAGGCCTATATCTCTGGGAATCCTTGCTCTGCTCTGGTTATGTTGGTAACTGTTAAATGACTTTCAAGTGACTCAGTGCTTTCAGTTACTGGAGCCAAGCCAGTAGGAGTTGGCCTGGGGCAGTCTTAGCATCCCCTTCCATCATGGGAGAAAATCTTCTGGTTATATTGCTGAACTCCCAGGCCTTAGAGAGATGAGGCCCAGCTTTGCCTTTAAGAACTGCCGTTTGGTACCAACGGTAAGTCATGTTGTGTCACAGCCCGTGGTACCCCTACGTCATTCTGGATCCTGAATTTCTATGTCTTAGCTAGAGTTGCGAGAATATAGCCTTCATTTTAAGGATTGCCTGCCTTACAAACGAATCCAGTCAATCTTGTCCCTCAGTCTGGGTCTTTGGGCTCATTATGTGTCTCAGATGCACTAGTGTTGGTTTTCATCTTTTTGTCTATTTCTTTTAGAGTGTATATTCTATTTATATATGAGATTGTAATTGTGAGGTCTGCTTTTTCCCTTGAAGTGGCAGCATAAGCAGCTGTCTTTCACCTTACTCATGCCTAGCTCTTTAAAACATGGTGTGGTAGCACTAATTTGCTTCTAGGCTCTATTCACAGAAGAGCTGGCCCTCCTTCCTAATACCTTTCTTGAGTTTCTTATTCAATCCCCCCACTCCTCCCCACCCCATCTCTTTCAGGCCAACCCCATCCCCTTGGCACTTGAGTAACCATTATGGACAGGAACTCTTCTGAAAAGAGCTGATCTATGGACTGCCTGGATTCCCTTCTCAGCAGTGTTGGGATCTTCTGTCTGATTCACAGCCATTATACATTCTTTCTTTGCTCTCTCTGCGTTCTGGAGACAGTGAGGGGTTTTTGGAAGACAAAGAGCCTGACTGTCAAAGTGGTCGAGTAGAATGAATGTGTGAGTTGCCCAATCTTGCTTTCCCTGTCTCTGTCCTTTTTCCTTTGAGAGTACGCCTTGTTGAAACAGTTGTGAGAGATGGCCGTGCGAGATTATCAAAGATGACATGTATTTGGTCTTGGGCTGGAGCCCTGTTTTATTGGCTTACATTTAAAGTCAGCAATCCTACCTTTAGCCCATGTGTCTTCTCCATCTACCTATCTTAAGGGCTTCCCTTCACCCAATGGGGCCTGATTCTTCCTTCCTGGGTAGATTATTTCCACAGTCTCCAGGCAGTGTAAGAAATGGAAGGGAAAACTTCACGTGCCAGGCATGGCTCTTCTATGTTTTCCTTAACTTCTTATTGCCTAAAGGGGTGGCTTTCTTGACCTTGATGCCAAGAAATCCTGGGAAATGGTGTACCCTTTTGGGGCTGGTATCCTTCCCCTTTGGGCAGGGATTAGGACTGAGTCAAAATTCTCTAGGCTAAAGGCCCTCAAAATATCTGAGCTGGGAAGGACTTGTACGCATCATTTAATAGTAGTGGAACTTACAGACTTGGAAAAGTGAGGGGACAGGTTCTAGAATTAAATTTTTGACAATGCTGTCCTACTGTGGCCCTCTTCTGTCCTTTGTGGCTATGCTACATAAAAAGGTTTTTATTTCTTGCAGTTGGGGTTTGCTGTTGACATGGGGCCACTATGTCAAAATGATAAGAGGCTGTTGTTAATGGTGTTGGGGAAAGAGGTGGTGGGGGGAAGCTTCTTGTCTCCCAATCTCAAAGCTCTGTCTCTTTGGCTGAGGGTGAGTCCTGAATGTCTCTGGACTCCTCTCTTGAGCTATTCTTCTTCTTCCCCTGCCCATCCTGTGGTGGGTCTTCTATGTAGACATATCCATGACCTTATTATTACGTCTTCTGAGGCAAGTAGTTGAAGTATATATTGGAAGAGAGGAAGAGTCACTGACTTAATCTGTTAATTTATAGACTCTCCAAGTTGGCAAAGACTGACTTGTCCCCTCTCCTCTAGCCAGAAGTGGTCTCTACTACTGAGCACCCTCATATGTCTTCTCTGATGCACCCTCTCCCTTCCCCTGGAATCCAGGCCTTCTCCTAAGGGTACTTTAGTAAAGTGACTAGACTGAGGCCCAAAGTGGGATGATGCACGGTGCAGTTATTGCTTATAAAGCTGTTTTGAATGGGCCTGTGGTGTGCTTGTCTGTCGGCATACAACCAACACAAAGTGGGCCACTCAGATGTGATGTAAGAATAGTTAGGCTTGGGCCTCTGCAGAAAGTAATATGGGCCCACCTTACCTGGAATAGCATCTGTTCATATCTGTCATAGTCAGTTGTCAACCATTATTTGGGGACATGGATAGCAACTATTGCCAATGTGATTCTGACTACCTGTGGCAATCTTGTGAGCACCTTGGCAGGCACCTACGTGGGACTTAGAGCGCTATGTAAGTAGGGAGACTTCTCTTGGGGTGAGGCTTCTCAAAGGTCATGGAGAGTGTTTGCTTCTGCCTTTTGGAGGCATATGGGCAAAGGTGGCAGAAATTGGGGCTGAATTCTGTGGGACACCCCAGGGAGGAGGCCCAGAATGGCAGGCAGTTGAGGCTGAGATGGGGCCCATTGCCTGGGTGGCTTGGTTAGCCCTTGCCTTGATGAAAAGGCAGCCTGCCCTGTCATCAGAGTTCAGGATGAGGCTGGCTTGCACTCTTGTGGAAACCTCCAGCCAAAACAAGGATACACCTATCTAGGACAGAACAACCTGGGAGGATATAAATGGAGTAAAGGCAGTCCCGGAAGAGGCTTGAGGAGTGAATCATCAGTCTAGTGAACCATCTTCAGAGTACAGAACACCCATGATCCACATGTGGGACCTCCCTGGCTGTGGGACAGAATGGGGTCAGTTTTCCTTAAGGGTTACAATCAGTATGTGCCATAGAGGTCAGGTCAGATTGTGGCCAAGGCTTGTGGGCTTTTTGTGCAGTCCCTCTATGGCAGCTGTAAGAGGGAGTGAGGCATGGGCAGGTTCCCCTTCACACCATTGGCTCTATCCAAGCCTACCAGATCCAGGATCCAAGGCAATGTCTACTAGAACTGTTGTTCTCTGCGGCACTTTCATGGAGGAATGCAGCATAGGCAGACCCATCTCCCCAAGTCTTTGGCTCTGGGCTGCTGGGCTGCTGCTTCATGCTGGAGACAAAAGCCTACTTGCTGCTTAGGGGCTACAGTGGTGGCCCAGGAGTGCCCTCTCACTTTCTCCCCACCTTTTTGTCTAAGGAAGGATGGGGCTGTATGCATCTACTCCGAGGACTGAGTACGCCAAGGCCTTGGCATTCTGCGGGGCTGAGTCCCTTCAGAGAGGCCGCTGAATAGGCATGGTGAATCTATGGCGACTTGGAATGGTGGCACCACTGAGTCATATGCCCCATCTTCTAGCTGGGCATTGGCCACCCAAGGCATACACAAAATCCTCTTCCCTCTATACATAGCAATCATGTTTATCTTGGACTTCCATAGGATGTAGCTCAGAAAACTATTCCCAGTCTACAAAATAATCTCGTGTTTCACCTAAGATGGACCAACAGGACTCATCTGGAGATGAGGGGATGCATTTCTTTTTCCCTAAGAGTATGTTTCTTCCTGTACCCCGGCCCCATCGATGGCCTTTGCCTTCAAGTGAAAATATTTCTGATGTGCCATTGTGGGCTCAGGGCTTACAGTCAGGGGAGAGGTAGGGAAAGGTGAGAAGGGGCTCATCTCTCAGCTTCCCTTCTCCCCAGTGTCTAAGTTGAGCCCTGTGGCTGGTTAGCTTTTACTGGGCAGGACTGGCTGAATTTTTGTCTCTCTGTTCCTAGTGCCTAGCACTGTGCTGGCCTATGGCTGGAGAGAAATCTATGGTTGTGGAATGGATGGTGGACTGAGAGGGCCAGGAGTTCGCCGACCTGCAGCCCATTGGTTTTCACAGTCCTGAGCATCACGCATCACACTGTGGGGCTTAGTTGCCTGAGCTGCCCTGTAGTTTCCTGGGAATTCATTGGTCCAGCTTCCCTGGATCCTTCTACAGTGTAGCAGTCTGTAAGGGATGGGGATTCTACCTTCCTCCTAAGTGCCTAAAAGCAAGTCTTAGGGGAGTGGGTCCCACTCAAGGAACTCTTCTGGTAATAGCCCTTTCCCAGATATCCCCACAGTGCCACCTAACTGTCCTTCTCATTGCCTCTGAGAATTTACAGGTGTCAGAGGGTGGCACAGGCTGCTGTGGCTCACAGATTCTAGTCATTCTCACTGAAAGCCTAGAATGGTAACCAACACATTTCCTGGTGTTTGGGGCTCTGCTACTTTATGCTCAGACAAGATGGTTTATATTACCTTTTGGTAGTACTCCTTTTGGTCACTGATAGGAGTTGTGAGAAAGGTCACTGAGCCTGATGGAAGGGATATAACTGCCATTGGCAGAAGGACAGTCTCCTGAAGTGACAATCTGGAGCTATAGAGATCTAGTATAGGTAATTAAATTGTAGCATTAAGGGCTCCATTACACAAGGAATTAGTGATGAGATTATTTTGTTACAAGGTTCAGAGCTTACACTTGGGGGCTGTTGTTAATATGGAACATCCTGAAAGCCTTAGTGCAGTTGTAAGCTATTAAAGACTTTAGGACCCCCTGTACAAGCAAGGGATACTTGGGGGATATCCCCTACCCATGATCCCCTATTTGGGTTCTTGTTCAGAGATCAAGTAGGAGGTCCAGCCAAAGACGTACTAGGGAAGGCTTGGGGATGGCTTGTAATAGACAGCCTGGTCTGATCAGGGTAAGTGGTGGTTGTCGGAACCAATGATCAGCTCACCAGTATGTCCCTGTTGTCCTTGCGTGGGGACAGCCCTGCAATCTGCTGAGCATGGAGAGGACGGAATCATTCTTCCTGGCAGCCTCTCACTGGCCCCAAGTGTTTTCACTCCTGGGGTCTCTTGTTTTCATGAGGGCCAACCCCCGGGGTCAAATGCTGCTCACCCCACCCTCAGTTGGATGCATTCCGGCGTCGAAAGAAAAGACTACAGAAGCGAGAGTAATTGAACACTTACTATTGAATAAATTAAGAGAAATTTCACAAAGATCTGGTGCAGGTGATATATCTAGGCACCAGGTATCTTGACAGCAGGCTACCTAGAGATCATTCACAAAAGATTACCTTCAGACAAGGGGTCAGGGAGAGAGGGAATATACAAGGCAATCCTTAATTCCTCAATTCTTATCATTAATATAGAGATTATAATAATACATCAATATAGAGATTCCATTGAACATTAAGGTTGCAATTAATAATCTATTAATAATCTATCATGCAAGTTTTTTTGTTTTTTTTAAACATTAATAGACATTAAGATAACTTGTAGATATAGATAGTAGTTTAATATTGAACACAGAAAATTGGTGATTAGCACAGGAGTTGGAGAACCATGACCATGTGAGATTTACTTGATGCGACTGTGTGACAATATGGAGACTGTCCACAAATGTGCTCTAAGCTAGTTATCGTTGGAGTTTATTGCTAGTGCAATTGAAAGTCTGTGGGTTTTTCAAAGGATTTCTGTTAACATGTGCTATGAGCTTACCCTTTATATTTGACAGAAGAAATAAGATGTCTCCCCTTTTCTCTGATACTCACTACTTCAGATCTGAACCAGAGGGTTGGGGGGTGGGGAGGGGAACATGGTTTTGAATCAGCCTGAGGGCTGCTAAAGGTGGTGTTTCAGTCCCCTGTAGTTTCAGCTACTCTGCTGTACAGAAATACACAGAGATAGAATTGTGCGACACATGTGGTTCGCATGCAGGGTTTCTTTAGACAGTGTCATTTTGGGATGGACGAGCTGGATCTCGTCCAGCTGGTCGTGGGAACGCTTAGACGTGGTTCAACAGAGCAGATGGGCAGATTGACTTGGACCTTCTTGTGACGCTTTTGTTTTTTGGGGGGAGAAGGAGAAATCCATGCTCGAAGAAATGACTGACACCTGTCAGTGTTGCAAAGCAGGCTGAGGCCACCCTGGTTTTGCCCAGGGTGGTGGCTCTCCCACTGCCTCTCGGTTTTCATCCTCTAACTAGGAAGGTAATCTCACATTGGACTTTTCACGAGCATGGACTGCTGCTTGCGTCAAAGCTGGCCGTCAAAGATTGGGCCCCGGGGTTCTGGGTATTCAGATTCTGCCACCTCCAGTTTCCAGAATTTGGAACGTACACTCGGAGGCCGTGCAAATAATGTCGGGCATAAGCTAGCATCATGGAATCCTCAGGGAAAGCCACAGATCTGTGTGAAATGGACACACAAACAGAAACACAATCACTGGGAACACTTGTCTACTCTGCACACAGTATAGACTGGATGACCAGACGTGAGTAATTCTCAGGCCCTATTGTTGGGGCTCTGAGTGAGGATGGTCATGGAACTGAAATGGAATCCTTAAGAGAGCGGCAGATCCGCAAAGAACACACAAAATAGGACACAATACAAATTGGTCACAAGGCTTAACTTCTTGTACATGATTGTAATACGATGACAAGCTTGCCACTTGCACAAATCAGCTGTAGCCTTTGCTTACACTAGCTAATGTGAGGAAGGAGCCAAACAGGAGATAACTTTAGCTTTGAAAAATCCAATGGAAACTCTGTATTTCTTTTTATTCCCAGAGTCAGATAAGCATTTTGATAGATTGACATTCCAAGGGCCTGCTTCCGTAGTACTGAATCAAGTTAAGACTTGTAAAGTCTCCTCCTCTTGACTTTCCAGGTGTTACCCTTCAAGCTCTAGCTATGAGCTTTGCTTGAGAAAGGGCTACGGAAGTTTGCCCTAAAGAGAGGTACTTGATTCTTTCTTTTAGTTTATTTTTTTTTCTCTTAAAATCTCTGTCAATATAAGGCTAGAAGGTATTGTAAATTTGCCTTTTGATTTTTTTTTTTGCTTGCTTATTTTCTAAAGCAATAAGGGATTCTAGGATCAAGGGTTTGACCTCCCAGGGAATCTCAAATCCCAGAATGGGTAAATAGCTCCAGGACTGTATCACTAAGCTCCGTCGTGGGACTAAGTTTTTTGACCGAGGACCACCAAGAGAATGGTGCTGAAATCCGAATTTGAAATGTGGTCCTCGGGAGGTGATAAGCTAGTGGTATATGTATCTCTTCTTGTCCTTGCACTCCACGGTCCTGCGTTTGGGGGATGGGCAGTGTTGTCAAATGCCCATATCGAACAAGGCTGGTCAGAACCTCATCTCATGATGACAATGTGCATGCATGAAGAGAGCAAGAATATAAAGCATACATTTACTGTCAGTCTGGAAAAACGTGCTTCCAAATGGGTAGATTTTAGTGTGGCCTAGGAAAGTGTCACCCAAGAGAGACAGCCCGTTTCTTCCTCCAATACTTAAAAAGAGGTTGACTTTTTTATTCAGCTAATAGAACAGATTTGAATAATTGGTCTTTTAGAAATCTTTTGTGTACAGTAAATATAAAACTTTAAACCTCACTCATAGGCATGAATCAAAGTACAAGATTGCAAAGCCATACTCAAACACCTTTGCTTGGAATGCTATATTTACAGGGATTTCTAAGCGGCACAGGAAATTCTCACGAGTCAATCTCCTGTGCTAATTCACTCGACTGGATTTCCTATGCCGGGTCTTCATGTTGAGCCGAAGCTCAGGGTGAGACCTTAAACAGAAGTGACCTTCTCATTGACCATAGTACAGGTATCCTCAACTATTGCTTCCGCTGGCTGGGGAGAGCAAGGCTCCATCTCAATCACCACCTCAACTACTTCAGTATTGGGCCTCTCCTCAAAGGGGACAATCTGGGGCACATCCTCATCATGGCTGGGGCTGTATTCCCTTGGGACAAATACCCTTGGGGTAAAGTCCCTCCCAGTGTACTGACGGCCAGTGTATTCCCTGGGGTACAGGTTAGCAGCACTGACTGGGAGCTGCCTGGGAGGGCTCTTGGTTTTCCCCAACCATCCAAAGCTAAGGTACTTGAGGAAGGCCCGGCGGTAGGTCTTGTTGAAAAGGGTGTACACCAGAGGGTTGATGCCAGAGCACACATATCCAACCCAAACGAACACACTCAGGAGCTCATCCATAGTTGACTTGCGACAAGACTGAGTGCAAATAACCGCCATGATATTAGTGATAAAGAATGGGCACCACATGAGCAGGAAGAGAAAGAAGACAATGCCAAGCACCTTGGAAGCCCTACGCTCATTAGCAATGGCCTGCATGGTCCCCTTACGATAGCCCTCCCGATGGCCCGGAGAAATAAGACGAACAGGCACCCCAGTATTGGGATTGTGAATCATAGAGATGTTGTGGGCACTCCTCTCCCTCCGCAGGCAACCAAACCTAGAGCGCCTCCTACGCCTCTCCCCAGGCCCGAACACGCTGCTCTGGCCCTGCAGGACCTGGATGGTCAGGCAGTAAGTGATGACCATAATGAACAGCGGAATGAAAAACGCCACGAAGGAGCCAATGAGCACGAAGTTGGGTTCGTTCAGGCTGCAGCTTCCATTCACAAAGACCTTGCTCTCATCCCTCAGGCCAATGATTGGGATGGGCAAGGACACAGCTAGAGCAAAACAACAAAAGGATTATTGAGTAGAGTCAAGAGTGTAGGCCAGCTGGGCCACTTTGACATCTCAGCCTCAGTTGCTGTCACTGAAAATGATCCATCACCATGACCCTTTGGAACTGTGAGTGACTTGATTCTGAATCTCAACAGGCTGAGCCCAATGGGCGGTAAGCAGGCCTTAGTTCCTCAAGGTGAGTTTGAGGGGTAGGGTATGGGTCAAATTGGTCTGAGGAGTTAGGGTCTTTCAACTGACATAGTAGGGAAAAGACAGCCTGGATGTGTCTTCCATTCTGGGGTATATGGACTCTGTAGTCAGTCCCCATTTTCAAGACAAACAGCATTAGGTCAATCAACAGCCCAGTGCCTCACTGAAGCCTTGGGCCTGGTACCGTCCTACTGGACTACCCTTAATGAGATATCAAGCACCCATGCCCACAGATCTATGAGTTCAATACTGAGGGCATTTGGACTCCCTTTCTTCCCGGGCCCCCATTCCCCTTTGGTTCTGGTAGTTGATAGCAGTCAGCTTTCTGAATGCTATTGGGGATTTCTGCTGTAGACTCTTAGGTAGACATCTTGTAGGCACCTGGAGTCCCTATCAGAAATCCTTGAATATAGGTACTATTTATCTGCCAGTTATCTGTAATTGGAGAATAATTTGCTATGACCTATTATGAACTAAGACCAGATGAAAGGTCATCCTGAGAAAGAGAACATGTTGTTTCTGTTTGCCAACATTAGCTCTAATGCCCAAATTGCTGTCTTGACTACTGGGATTCATGAGAATAGTTGTCTAAATAGGTGCTTATAGGAGGAAGGGAATAAGCATTTCTGTGGCACCTACTATGTGCCAGGCACTGTGCTACGTGCTTCACAGTTATTATCTCCTTTGATCCTCCCAACAACTCAGGGAGGTAGTGCTCTGGTTTTACAGAGGAGAAGGGACTTGCCTAGGGTCACACAGCTAGGAACTATCTGAGGTTGAATCTGAACTTTGCTCTTCCTGTCTGACACCAGGCCTGGTGTTCTATCTAGGTTGATGCCCCCTAGCGGCATTTTCAAGGAAACCATGTAGGATCTGTTAACCTGTGAGCCAGTGGAATAGATGTCCCTGGGAATGTCATTCCAAAGGTGAGAAGTGGCCAGATAGAGGAGCAGGAGTGTTCTCCATCTAGAACTAGTCGGACCTAAGTGGTGTACAGTCAAAGACTGACATCACAGGTGGCCAGGGAAGATGGCCTAAAGTTTGCTCATGTAGAATTTACATTATTCACTTACTTTTAAATGAGAGTTTTTGATATTCTTTGTATTACAAAGTATGAAATGGGGAAGATGACCTTTCATGTCTCCTCACACAAGTCGCTGGGTGCAGCAAGGTGGCCCAGGGGGCCTGGAGTCAAGAAGACCTGAGTTCAAATGGGGATCATAAGATAATAAGATAGTAAGGATGAAGTGCTTAGGACACTGCCTGGCAAACAGTAAATGCTGAATAAATCTTCGCTATCATTGTGTCTGCACTGTCCCTTATTAACGTAGCACTTGTCTCTATCTTGGAATGAGAGTACTGTGCTCTGAGTCACTTAGGCTTGGCCCATGGTGCTGCCAGAGACATCGGAGGCTCAGCTGAATCAAGGTTTGGAGTTCAGGAGTCACGTACTCACTGTACTCAGGCCAGGGACCTTGGGGCACCTGGTTCATAGAAGATGATCTATGCTCACTTGGGTGGCCCAGCTGTCTAGTAGCATATTAGATCTCAGAACTGTTCATAGTTTGTATTCTCCTTGAAATCATTGTTGGCAAGTCAGTATAGGCTTATGGGAAAGGTTGTTTCTACCTACAAACCTAACGGATTGCTAGTTACTGGGTTTCTTAGCTATAGATATCTCTTTTTCTATCTTTGATCTTTCTCAAGAAATCTAGTCTGCCCTAGCAGATAATTAGGGGAAACACCAGCAACTTGATAGGTCTCCAAAGGAAGTTATTATGCTTAACACTCCCCTCCCTCGCCACCATGTAGGAAGTGTTACTATCTTTTATATTCAACCCCTTTATTGGACTGGTTGTCTACCATTGTCAGTTTCACATACGCCATCTTTTGTATATATTAACTTCCCGTTCTCTCTGCTCCGGTGTTTCTCGCCTGGTGTGGAAATCTGCCACCTGGTCTGTCTGTGCCACGGGCCAAAGTGGTATTCCTGATGGCCTGATCTGTGTGCCGTGACTACCTAAAAATTCTAATTGGCTCACTTTAAAATACAGACTATTGATGGGATAGCCTATCATAGAGGTTCCCATGTCTCCTTTGGATATTTCATCTTGATGGGTCCTCTATTCCAGCTGCCTATGAGCTGTTTCCTATATGTGATGTACCATTTGCTGTCTCCATGGGAGAGAAATTACCTGTGTGATGCTCTGGGATTCTATGACAGAGCCACCAATTAATTGGATGGTTGTGGGCCCATTTGCAGGTAGATGAGGGTTGGGACTTAAAGCTATCTTTGAATATAAGTGTGTGTTAGAGGCCGAGTTTGGGGCACAACCTTTGGCCAATATTTTCCTTCTCCAACATCCTGTGATACTCTAGGCAGTATGCAGAAGACAACCACACCAACACATAATCGAGAAGTTGTCATAGGATCTTACCCGTTTCTCCGCTCCCCCCTCCACTGCCCCCATTAACATGTTAGAGCTGATGTGTGAACAAATGCTGGCCACTGCTTATGGAGCACCCATGACAGTTGGCAAGATGTCATCATCTAAAGAGCAAGGGCGGACAAACTTACCCATCGAGATGGTCCAGACAATGGCAATCTTCAGCAGGGCCTTGGTGCGAGAGTTGAAGCGGCTATGCTCAATCGGGTTCCGGATAGCAATGTAGCGATCCAGGGAGATAGCGCAGAGGTGCATGATGGACGCAGTCGAGAAGAGCACATCGAGGGAGATCCACATCGGGCAGAGTTGCTTCGGAAGAGGCCAGGTGTATTCTGTGAAACCAAGAAAGATGCAAAAGAACAGGGTAAGTCTGAGTTGAGGCAGGTCCAGAAGTGCAATCCCTGCTAGCACTGCCCATTGAGTAAGTGTTAGGAAGGGGAGACTTCTTGTCGGAGTGGATGAGCTAACTTTTGGTGGGGAGTGATATATGTTGTCTCCAGGGGCACTGGGTACTGCAAGGTGGTGCTTGGATTGACATCTGGGGCTTTAAGTCTGGGACTTGGTAGAGTAGGGATTCTTAACTTGAAGTTTGTGAATATTTTAATGAAAATGTTTTGGCAACTATGTGTCAGTCTAATTGGTTTCCTTTGTAATTCCATGTATTTTATGTATTTAAAAAAATTATTCTGATCAAGGGGCCATGCCACCAAAAAGGTGACGAACCCTTGTTTGAACCTATCCTGTGGTGGCTGGCAGGGAGAATCTAGTTCCAGGATGATCTGGAGGGGTCACAGAGGCCCTGTCTTTGGTATGAGATGGAAGTCTCAATCCAGTGTTGTGGGGATCAGACAGGTCAGTAGCATCTTCCAAAGTGTCTCTTCCTGGATATGCTTCTGGGTCTTCACTCAGGGAGCTTGGAGGGGATGCTGTGTTGTGATCCTGCTGGTTAATGTTGGGGCTGGGGCAAGGAGCCAGGCACTCTTCTTGGGGGCCTTATAGTCTGGCTCATCCTTCAGTGTAGGAAGCCCACAGTTCTGGGGGGCACTGACCTTCCTGCTTATAGATAACTTCAAGGATAGAGTGGAGGTTCCGACTTCCAGGCACACCTGTAGATGTGGTCTTCTGTTCCAGACTTGAGCCTTCCTCCAAGGACAGCCAGCAGTGAAGGGTGCAGCTAGGTAGATCCTTCCCTGGCATCAGACACACGGCCATTGGCACAGCTATGTTTCCAGTGGGCTCGTGGTGTCCAATCCAGGGCCAGATTATGGCTGGAGGATGTCTCTTTTTTTTGGAGGTGGTCCTAGGCCAGAGGACTACCTGGAACTGCTGGCCTTCTTCATTTCTGATTGGTTTTCAGGTTAGTCAGGTGACAGTGTTGTCTGGGAAAGTTGCTTTGTGGGTATCTGGGTGAGTGTGTTAGAGGACCCAGTTGGCTCCACGGCATAGTTCTCTGGACGTGAGCCAGGCCTGGGAAATGTGGCCACTGTGAGCTCAAGGTCACCCTGAAACCAGCTGAGGAGCTAGAGGGCGACTCTCAGGGATGGTCCCCTCCTGCATTCTCTGGAGACCTCGTAACCTCCAATGAATTGAACTCCTGTCAAGGAGCTTAGGGAGGAAAACTGAGACCTGTGGACATGAATGACTTTCCCATTAAGGTGAGACATGGGCTTGGGGGCACCCACCCTGTTACCCTATTACTAAGAGTGCCTCCATGTGGCTCCCATTTTCCCAGACTGGAGAATCCTAAGGAAGGTAGCAGATGCCAGCCAGGTCATTTTAAGGCATATCTCATTCCACTCTTGCCCCGTTTATTGACAGTTCGTTGACTGCTTTGTGCTGGCCAGAGAACATCCTCAGACTCACCATAGAAGATGGTGACGACAGACACCGGCATTACTAATAACCCGACTAACATGTCCGCCACGGCCAGAGACATCAAGAAGAAGTTGGTCGCGGTCTGCAGCTTTTTCTCCAGGGCCACGGCCAGGATCACCAGGATATTGCCAGCAACAGTGATGATAATGACGATCGAGATCAGGAGGGCAGGCCAGTTCTTGCGGATGTGTCCGGGAGCCGAGGTCGGGGCAGTCGAGTTATCGGTGCTATTTGTGTACTCATCCATGCCATCGTCGCTCACGTTGCGGCTTAATTGCAAAGCCATCATGCTGTTTTGTAGGATACTAGAAAAGGAGATAGAATAGTCAGTTTAGTCAGGGCTTCTTACCATGAATCCAGGGGCTTGGGTCACGTTCCGGTTTTTACATTTTGATAGCTGTATTTCAAGGGAATCTGTTTGAGACCTCTCACCTGGAAGCTGAGGGAACAGAGAACCAGAGCCCCATTGTTCACCTGAGCCATAGAGCTAGCAATGTTACTCTTCTGAGGACCTCTCTATTATGGCCCTAGCATAGGGCAAGGGGGCATCCCTTATGGGGAGAGCGACCACATTTTTAGCATCTGGGATGCTGCCCGAATCAGGTTACCAAGAATTCTGGGGTCCATTTCTGAGTTCTTTATCTAGAGCTGGGACTAGCACATTTGAGCTTTGTGGTCTGGGGAGACACAGAGTGATGGGATTCCACCTCACACTTAGATATCATCTCTATTTAGTCTGATAAAATGTTCTTTGGGGAACTGGTTATCTGCCAATTGCCATAGGCTCAGGTTCCTAGCATTCTAATCTTCTCTCTCTCTCTGGCAATGAGTCCCCAAGCTAAATTTTCACTAGATGGGGTAGCTAGAGAGTTCTTTAAGGGGAAGCAGCTGACATCTCATTTTGCTCTGCACTGGTGGAGGGTGGTGGCGCATATTTCAAAATGTTATCTCTCCTGGGCCATAAGATTTTTTGGCACATTAAGTCTAAAGCTTTAAAAGGACCACTGAGGCCAGCCCTGTCATTTGCGGGTGAGGAAATGGCCCCTCTGGGCCTCCAACTAACCTCTGACTTGCCCAAGTTTGCACAGCTACTGAGTGGTGAAGGCAGAATTCCAATCTCAGGTTAAACCTCAGGCACCCTGACTGCATTTGGAGTCATTCTCCATGCTAGACCATCTAGAGGTGGAGAAGGCTGGTTTTTGTTTTAAATAGAAATTCCCCATAAGGCTATCTCTCCCGGAGAATTCTATGGAGCCCTGATGCCCAATACCCTTCTGGGCTGTTTGTTTACTTTTCCAGAAAGCTCCCAAGACAAAATCTTGCCGTGCATCTAGGCATCTTTTGTCTGCATTCATTTGCAGGGATGCCAGAAAACCTGGCAAGCAGGGACAAAGGCAGAGCTCACATTTGCCTTGGGAATCTTCAGAGGTGCCAGGGTAGCCTAACAGTGAGTGCTTGGCCACAGCGGGAGCTCCTCGCGGCAGCTTGCTCTTCTGGCATATTTCCCACGTCTGAGGCCAGCTTGCTCACTTCAGGACAAAACTCCTGTTCACAGTGATGGAGACAGACTCCTCAAAGATGACAGAGTAAGGGTGACTAGATGTCAAATAGATTTTTGCATCTAGGGAATGTCTTTGTTACTCAAAGACCTGTGCTCTCCAGGAAGTTCTTCTGCCCTTGTGGGCTCCTAATCTGAACTGGGGAATGAATGCACAGGAGGGCATTGTCCCTGAGCTGTCGGGGAATTTCAATGTTAAGAGACACCAATTACAGCCTTGCTAGGCATTCTCCCAAGTGAAATAATCAAACCAGATCAGAAGACCCTTGGATACTTTAAAGGAACTGAAATTCCAGTTTGAAGCACTGATGGGGTTGGTTACTTGTCACCTTGGGTAGGCAAAAAATCCCCCCAATAATTTGGGAGGGGCTACTGACTCAGGCCAATGTCATTTGGATGCCCCCCCCCATTCTGTTTATTACCTTCTGTTATCCTACAGAAGACCCTTGTTGGGGGAGGGCTGCTCTTTGATCCTGACAGCTGCCCTCCTTGGATACTTAGGCCACTGAACTGTCTATAAGTACTCTGTTTTACCAAAGATGACAGAGGCAGCAACTCTTAGAAGAGGGAAAGGAGTCGTACCTCCCCAGGCACCAGCTTCTTTCCCTCTCAGGTAAGGAGGGTGACCTCTGAGGTACCTTCCAGTGCTCGAGCCACAGTCCTCTTTGGGCAGGTTAGGACCCACCCAAAGATGTGCAGAGCACTTGGGGCATGAGACATCTGTGAGCAGAATGTGCCCAACCGAGGCATTTTAGCACCACATCTGCAGAGGGACCCTACAAAGAAGGAAGCTACACCATTCCCACCAAGTAAACATCGGGCCCTGCTTCCTCGCATGGTGAAACAGGCAAGCCATCTTCCCTTCTGAAAGTAGCAGATAGGGGATGCGTTCCTGGGATGCTTTCTTGAGATACTCTCTGAGCACCACTTCCAGGATTCTAGTGACATGATCCCCCAAGGGTATCTTCTTCCACACCCTCACTCTCCATCTCTGATCTCTTACCTACACTCTCTCAGGTTCGAATCACCACTGTGTCTCGTTCTTTCTCATTATACCAATGGAAACGCCAACAGAAATGCCTCACGATCACAGAAGGCCCGAGGGAGAATGCCCAGTGGGAAAGGATCCTGGTTGTTTCCTGCCACAGCTTTCCAAGTTTGGAGCTTGGACTCTCTTGTCCTACTCCTGGCCTTACTCTAACCCAGCCTCAAAGAGTCGCATTAAATATCCACCCCCATGGCTTGCCTTTCCCCTTTGGACAAAGGGCCAAGAGTTTCTGCATAACTGCTATGCTTTTAATGAAAAGGGGATTAAAGGCTTTCAAAGAGTTACCTAGACCCACTTCTCCTTGGGAGGGAGGAACAGACCGCCCAGGAGTCCCGGGTCAGGGTGCCAGGCACACTCGCCTTTGGTTAGGCCTGCTGGCTCATTTTTCCCACTGAACAACACTAATCTGGATGCGGAGCAGCCCCCTACCCTTTCCTGTTGTAGGGCTTTACTCTGGGACAAAGCGGTCTGGGCCTCCTGGTAGCAGCCTGTGAGACCCCAGGGAGATGCTTCTTGCCCACCAGGAGCCTGGCAGGGATAAAGGAACTGCCATCACATCTACCCTTAGACCTGGTCTTGCCTCTGATCTAAGTTAAATGATAGAGGAAACAAGGAATGCTAAGAAAAAAATTGACAAGTTCATTTTGTACGACAAGTTCATTAGGGAAATGGTGGTGTGTTCAAAACCTAGGAAAGAAACATATGAGGCCCAAGGGCTGTGCTCATCTCCACTCAAAACTGTGTCTCACTTCATGACGCATATCTCACTAGAGAGAGGGTCTTTGGAGATGCCCTGGGATGAATCTGGTATCTTGGCATTAGGATCTGTTTTCCTTTCGAGTGCCTCTGAGACCCTGAAGGAATCTATGTGATCACTTGGAATCCCATCCTGTGGCCACATTCTGTTTAGAGACAGACAAAGCTTCTCTCACCTGGCATGCTTATGAGTCTACCCTCATGTAGAGAGAGAGATACACTGAGGTCTTGGGCTCAGAAGCTTGGACACAAATGCCTCTCCTTTCCATATGTCTTAAATGGGTGCCTGGATGGAGTCCTTGTCATTATTGGGGTTTTTTCCTATCTCTCCAGCTATAAGCCACAGACTGGTACTGTGGGTGGAATAAGCCAGATCAAACCAAAGGCTTCCCATACTGGGAACTGGGAGAAGAGAGGTCATTCCCAGAGTGTGGCCATGTCCCCAAAACTGCTGAGGCAACTCTGTTTTGCAGGCCACAAGGGCCTGTTGGAGATTTGTTCCGACATGTTGTAACACAAATCATTTGTGAATAAGTAGTCTATTCATGATTATATGAGCTTTGTGCAAAAATTGCAGGCACAATAGAACATCTAAGATTTGCATGAGACTTTCAGTGCAGAGTGACATTGTTTTTGCTTAATGAATTAACACCCCCACATCAGGTGTTTTCCATAGTGACCTCAGTTAATGAATCAGCCCCATAAGGAGGCTAATGTAGTATGTGCATCAATCTCTAAGTCTTTCCTTCAATCACTGCCCCCCCCCCCAAGACACAAGGAAAATCCCTTTTCAGGGGTCCTAGGATGTGACAAACATGGGCACAGAGGAGCTTTTAATCACATATTTGCTCTTGCACAAACAATCTGGAAAGGGAGAAAAACCCAAGAAGAGGCTCATCCTCTCAGAGCAAACATCTTTAAGTGGTCTCACACTGTGCTTTTCCATCTCTGTCAGTGATGTGCCAACCCAAAGATGTTGGGCTGTCCCATTCACTTTGTGCCTTGGTGAGGCCTGTGGGGACCATGGAGAGGAGTTGATAGGTGGCTCTCAGGTAAGCTGTTGTTCACATATCATCTGACTCTCACTATCCCAGCAGAGGGATAGAAAAAAGAAAAGGGTCATCACCACCCTTTTTGGGTGCTATTCTTATCGGATAACTCTTGTTGGCCATGAAAAGTGAGAGAGTGCTATGCTAACCTTGGCTACTAGGTCATTCATTCTCACCCCTCCCCTCAATTTCCTCAGGAGATGGCCTTGTGGAGTCAGACTGGATCCTGAAAGACATCTAGGCTGAGACTGGACTATTTTCCCTCCTCTACGAATGGCTAGCTAGCTTCCACTCCTAGACAAAAACAGACCACCATTGAAAGGAAACCTATGACCTCCACAAAGAGCCCACTTCATTGTTGGATTTCAGGATGTCAAAAATTATGGAAAGGGTTGAGTGGCTGGTGTTTCTGCAATGAGCACCATTGATTAATTTCTATCTAGCAGCATATGGTGCTTATCTATGAGGGTTCAGTTTGCTCTGAAGGTGGGGGAACATGACCATTGAAGACAGTCTTTTCCACACTGGAAGGAAGCATCAGACTGACTTTTTGATGTTCTTACCTGGAGAGTATCTTAAGTCTGGGTATTAGAAGACTCATGGTTGCACAGTGCTTCCACTCGGGCGCCTAGGAAACATTATCAGTTGGCTGTTCAGTTGAGAGTCCTGGTCTTCCTTAGAGGGGAAGAAAAAACCTGTTATGAGAAATTCCTGAAATTTCACTCATAGGTTTAAATCCAGGTCAGATCAAATAAACCCTACATTTTTCCAAGTCTGTTGAGGAGAACATGAATGGGCTGCTGGACACCTGCAGAAAAATAATTGAGCCACCTCTCCAAAATTCCCAGTGTCAGTAATGCTGGCAAGTAAAGACCTGACTTGACTATGGGCTTATGTTTTTACCTTCATTGGGGACTTCTTTGAAAAGGGGACAGATGCCTGAGGCATTTACCCAGGGCTTCTCAGAAACTCTCCTCTTGCTTTGTCAACACTATTTGGGGGTGAGAAGACTCATGGGTTTCTGATCTATGGGCAGGAGGCCCACAGGCCTGGAAGAGATCAGAAATACTCAGAGTGGACATGGGTGTGTTGAGGATGAGCACCTTTGTTCTATAAATCTCTAGGCACATTTGAAAAGCTGGACTCCTCATCTCCACACAAGGCTTTTACATATCTCTAACTCAGTTTCTTCTCATAGGTGCTAGTAGGACCTTGATAAACAACTCCCAATCATGGAGCTGAGGAGTGGAGGCAAAGAAAAGCCACTCCCAGGGTTTGGGGAAGAAGCAGCTTACCTCACAGGAAGTTGTGCTCAAGCAAGTGCTGCTGCTGTCTGGAGCTGGAAGACAAGTTAGGATATGAGTTAGGATGCAAATCTGAGCTGGTCAGCAGACCTCCAAGGAGGACTACCAATTGGCATACCTAGATCCCAGGTAGCATTTGAAACACCTACAGCTGAAAGCAAACCAAAGGAGATTAGGACCGCCATAACTGCCTTCACCTAGGAATCACACTGAATGATTAGACTAGTCCTATGAGGAGGCCGTGGTAGAGACCTGCTTAGTGGAGGCCAGATAGATCAGGGTGTTATTTGTTTTTAGTGAATCAACCATCTCCTCCTTTTTCTTGTTCCATAGTCTGTTCTCTAGAGAAATATCAATAGAAGGGTCAAGCGAGCTGGTAGGCATTAATCTCTGCTTGCCCAGGGTTCAAAATCATCGAATGAGTATTTGAGTTCTCCATCATCAGTGAGCTCTGGAGAAGCCCCGAGAAGGGGCTCATATTGGGTAAAGACAAATCAATCCTACATTTCTCTGATGTTCCCTTTTCCCCAGGCACGAGGGCCCAGACTCAGAGTAGGAGCCAGGCAGGAAGAGGTGCCACCAGTGAGCTGATGCTGATTGCCAAGAGAGTCTCATCACCAAGAGAGCCCCCTTTTCTAGAAAGGCCTCTCTGCCTGAGGCATTAAGAGCCTCTGAATGAGAAGGTAAAATAAACCCAAGTTGTAATGGCAAAGCTTAGTCCTCCTCCCCTCTCCTGCTCCCAGGATCCATAAGGGGTAGGTAATAGAAGCTAGGAGCCTTCCCCACACCCATTCTTCTAGGAGACCTGAGAATCCAAGTACCTGTACTTTAGGTCTGGAGGGCTGATACTTACCTGCACTTCCTTGTGAAGAGGAAAAATTCTACTCAGGGTTGGTTGAGGTGGCTAGTCATTGTAAAGTGACAGGGATGTTATTTTACTGTTGCTGCATCATTTAAAGAATATAGGTTTGTCATGAAAACGTGGAGCCCTCAAAGGGTCCATTAACAGAATGGAAAAGACCAGAGAAATTACATTCGTGCAAGTGTAGATTTGGAATGTCCATCCCCTGCATAGGCAGATACACATCTCGCAACCACATTCACATGTGCACATAGTAAAACCATGAACTCGAGCCCAATTGAAATCCTAGGGAACTACTCATGTTGGTGACTCTGATCAAGCTGCCCATTCTGTAATTGACCCATAACTACCCAGGAGCTTTGATTAGCGCCAATCCCACAGAGAAACTGAGGTTAGGGGCCCAGTCCACACCGCTTCCTGGCCAGTATTCCAAACTGAACAATGAAATTCTGATTCTCATGGGGAAATCTGCCCTCCATCTGGGGTTCTCAACCCTCCCCTTGCTCCAATCCTAATGACTCCACTGGACCAGGCTCTACTGGCAAAGCCCGTCATTGTTCTATGGCTTAGTGACATACTGCCAGGTCCTTACACATAGCCCTTTCATCTTTGGGGGCCCTGATACCTGGAGGTCTTGGGCCCACAGGCTGTTTATAGGCATGCCACTGGGCAAAGTTGAGTTAAACCAGAGCCACGTTTCTCTTGGCCAGGGGATTTTTTCCCTCATGGTTTGACATCATTTTAGAGCTGTACTTGCCCAGAGGACAATGTCTCAAGAAGACATCACCCAGAAGAAAGTCCAAATCCTTGTGAAGTCACATGTTTAACAGAGACATTTCCAATAGACTCAGACATTGGCAGTAGCACGCAATAAGTCAAATAGGGCACCATACATACCAGGAACCGTGGTGATTGCCAGGGAGATGCATGAAGGGAAGCCTCATCTTGAAAGGGCAGCACTCAGGGCTTTTTGGCAAAAAAAATAATCTGTAAAGAGCTGGGGGAGTCCTTAGAGCTGAATCTCTTGCTTCCTAGCTCTGGGCAGATAGCTTTACTGTCAGTACAGGTACGCTGGCAGTAAAGGTACGTGTAATATCTCTGCAAGTGAGAGCTGAAGGAGGGGAGACTCTAGCAAAAGGACTTTGGCAGAAGTCAGAGGTGGCCAATCTCAAGCTCTGAGGGGAGTCTGTTCCAGCAAGGGCTGCAGGACAGATTCCTTGCAGCACCTGCTTTGATACAAATTAATGTCTTGGATTTCCTACCGGGCAGGTTTAAACAGCTGTTTTTGTCTTCCATCCATCCCGTGGCTGGAGCACACTGTGTCTCAAGGTTTGTTTGCCTACTTAGTAGAACAGCAGGAGAAAAGGCAAGACAATGAAGGCAAGGCAAAGCAGAAGACAGACAGACGGGAACCAAGCAAGAACAACAAGAAAGCAACATTAGAGCAGCACAATCCACAGAAGACAGCTGGCAAAGACTGTTCCATCTAATGAGTAAGTCGAGTCACAGGTTGCGCCCCAGCTCCTGTGCCAAGCGGACTTGGAGAGTGAGTGACTCAGCTCTGGGGACCTGCCCAAGTGACTGCCTAGACTGAGGGGCCTCATGGGCTCTGGTCACAGAGGAGGTGTCCAAGGCTTGTGAAGTTGCAAAGAAGCCTGGCCCCTTGCAGAGTCCGAACGGTCAGTGTGAAATTCGGAGATGCCTCGCCCCTAGCTTGTCAGGCCACCAGCATCCTAAGGCAGAATGTGGAGGTGGTGGGCTCAGTCCTGGGGAGATGGAGGGGAAGGATGGAGGAGCAATGACTTTCTTTCAGCTGGTTGCAGGGTTGAGGGGAGGCCGATGGGCTAACAGGCAACTTTTTATTTTTTTCTTTTATGGCAGCATGAGAACCCTCCAAACCCTTGTGGACCCTTTATCAAAAACAAAACAAAATAAAACAAAACACCCCTCACTCTGCATCCCATTTGCTGAGCCCTCTGTACAGAAAAGCTGATGTCTTAGACAAGGTAACTTGGTCCCCAAGACCTCTGGAGCAAGGTGACTTCTCCAAGGACACTTAGGATTGTCAAGTCCATGATAGCCCAGGTAACTGAGCCCAGATCAGCATGGAGAGGTACTGGGCTCGAGGGCATTCAGGCCACTGAGGGTGGGCAGGGCTATGCCATGGGCACCCAGCTAGTGTGGTGCAGGCTATATTTGACTTCTGAGTCCCCTTTCTCCCAAATCCCTTGGGCCGCCTCTGAGCACAGACCAGGTTTGGAATGACAGGAATCCCTACTTTGTCACTTGCTCCCTTTCATATCTTGGGCAAATGCCCTCTTTTTGAGCCTCTGGATCATCCTCTGGAAATGGGACAGCCAGAATAGAGGATGTTCAGAGTTCTTTCCAGCTCTATCCCCTTGGGGCCTTTTTTCCTCCAGGATTTGGACCCACCCTACCCTGACTGACATGATGCCAATTGTGCTCCAAAAATCCCCTCAAAATTTGTGATGGGCCATGGAGAACACTCCCAGAAATTAGCAAATATTCTAGCTACATGTTTACCTTACAGAGGCCGTAATCTGGGAGTAGAAGGAAAACAGAAATGGTTGCAAGACATTGAGTCAACTGCATTTCCATTGAAACAGAGAGGCAAGGTCAGGAACAGGATACTCCAAGGGCTTCACAGTGTGATGTGGACAGCCAGGGTCCACTGGTTAGCTTCATACTGTTTGGGCACAGGCAGGAGTTGGGGGCTCCATTGGCCTCGTGTATGAGGATGTGCAGCAGGACGGCTGGAAAGGATGCCCCATGAACCTCTTTCATTACTGGCTGTGAAAAGAACCTCAAGGGCCCAAGGCTCACAGCCACTGCTTCTGTCTTCCCCCCCAAGTTGCACTGATTCACTAGGCTTATCCAGTGAGTTCAGAATCAGAAGCTCTTAAGCTGTTTGCTTTTGGCATTCTACTTTGTTCAACGGATGGCCAGGACGCCTGGATCTACATGCAGTGACTGTCATCTCACACAAAGCTTAAAACCGAGGCAGGTGTTCCATGACACTGGAGGACCCCCACCAAATTAGGGCTGAGGAGCATTCCCCAGCTCTCATCCTGGTCTTACACTCTATCCTTCAGTCTTAGTTCTACACTTACACGAGGACCCCCAAACCAGGCAAAGGGAGTCATTGCCACACTGGGATCTCCTGTTTCATGGAGGTCATGCCTATACCTGTGTGAAGCAGACAGAGAGTGGATTCCTTGGCAAGGGTCTAAGGAAGAGAACATGACCTTTGTGATGGACTCGGTGGCCTCTCTGAGCTCTTGTGAGCTCTCCTAACCTTGGAACTAGAAGGAGCTAGAGAAGTCACCAATGTGACTTTTGTTTGGCAGAGGAGGGAACAGAAGAAATAGGACTCACCCAAGGTCACATGAGTGAGGCAGGGCAGGGTGGGTATCAAACAGTCTCTGACTCCAGGGACCACTGGATTATGGCTTCGAGGAATGCCAAAAGCAAAATCAGCCAGGGATCCTTGGGCTGCTCTCAGGGAGGAACATCTGTTAGGGAACCAATTTTCTTCTGAACTCAGATGTTTCCTCTTAAAAAAATAAGGTGGCACACAAAGGTGAGGTCTAACACCTAACCCAGATGAAGAGAATCCTGAATTCCACCAGCACATCCGTACCTGCTGCAGTCCTTCCACACAACCGAGTCAATCTGAGAGACTTAATTGCAGCATGTCCGCTCAGCAAGGTGGTGGTTATTCAAAGAAAAGAGCAGAAACAAGCCAGAGTGAGTGAATTAGCAAAAGCAGGTCATGAGCATAAGACACAAGAACATGGGGGACCGGCTCATTCCCAGAGTGGGCATAATGGCATGCAGACCGAGAGGCAAGCCTCATCTCAGGACTTGTCTACACTTACGCAGGCCCGAACTGCCCTTGCCAGGGAGAAGGCGATTAGTCACAAGACCAAGGTTTTTTCTTTTTTGAGGGGGAAATGACAGATCAGGAAGGATGAAGAAAATCTCGAGCCTATTAAGGTTGGGAGAAATACAGTCCGGCCTTAAAGAAGACAGGCTGAGATCTTCTTGCACACCAGGATTATGAGCTCTGGTTTCTATTATTTGGAGGGGTGAGTTGGGGGGAGTGATACAAGAGCCTTCTTTTCAACCTAAATCCAGGCAAGGGACCCCGAGCCCCTGAGAGCCTTTATGATGGGGGCCCCCACTGAGAATGATGGCCCCAGCAAGCCATGTGAAATTGGATGGATCGCCTGAAAATGAGGATGCACAGGAGGGCAGGAAGCACTGACTGGCCCGAGTATGTCTCTTATTCTGCCATCAGATGATACTGCTAGTGGTGAAAGAGCCTTTGATACTGTGTCCAGGTGACTCCCCCTGAATGGTGACAAAGGTGACTGACCACCTGTGCCTTCCAAACTGAGGCTGCTAATGCCTGAGGAACAGCCTCCAGATCTGATCTTTGGTGGCCACTCAGCATCGTGTTCTCCTGACCCCACTCCACCATCAGGGACTGGGTTGCAACTCAACAAATGGGATTCCCATGTGTTAAAAGGCTGACATGTCAGAGGTAGCAGGACTGAGGTTAACGGTGAGTCCCAAGTAGTTTTATGAGCAACAGTAGGGAGGCCAAGGAAGTAAGAAACATAATCCTACCGGAAGGCAGCAGCAACCAAGCTCTGACATCCAGTAAGGGCCACATGTAGAGGAAATGTAACCTACTATAAAGGGTGTGGGTGTGTGTGTGAGAGAGAGAGAGAGAGAGAGAGAGACAGAGACAGAATGAGACTGGGAACTGCCAAAGGTCATACCTTCACTGCCAGGAGGCCTGGAGACTTAAGATCTCCTGGGCTCCAGTCCCCTGGCTCTGATCTACAGAGAGCTTTGAGACTTAGGATCCTTTGGGATCACCTTTCTTATTTTCCCAGAAAGATGCTGTGACAACTTTGGATCTTTTGTCTCTGGTCTGTCCCCTGGACCTGACTCACTGACTCCAATGTTCCAATTGGTCCCTTGGCCAATGTGAACAGGGCCTGGCGCACAGTAGATACTCCATAAACATTTGGGGGAGTGAGATGACTACAGGTCAGCCTGATCTCTTAGCTTCCTGCCAACTTAAAGGGTTGAGGATATTAGGCACTAAGGGGGGAAATCTCCCCCCTCAAGCATTCATTATTTTATCCCACCACTGCCTCATACTTGTGAAGATTTGGATAAATGGCATTTGGCTGTTTCAGCCAGCTGAGGATTTACCACCAGATAAGGTGGTAGTTGTTTATTTAAAGTACATCCCCTTTCAGGGAGGTGAGCACTGGCCTCCACATTCACTTTGTCTCCATGCACTCAGTGGGAGAGTTCACATGCAGCCATCAGCTAATATGCTACCAATCTGAAATCCGATATAAATGCAGCCTAATAATGAGCCCACTCTGCCATTTAATTAGAGCTTAAGATGAGATTGAACAAAGTTTCTAGTGTTCACTAGTGTCAAGAATTCTGTCCCCCACCCGTTGAGGCCCAAGAGTCAGTCAGTCAGGAGAACACCAGGGGTGGCACATGAGCTGCTCCCAGGAGCAAGCTCAACACATCCGTGTCTCCACGGTCCTTCAAAGCACCATGACGTGCTGTGCTAACAGAAGGCTGGATGGCCCACTGGATCTGCCTCCCTACTCAGAGGTCCAACCAGCTTTACACACCGAGGACAAATAAAAATATCCCATCCTCAGAGGGGATCTTGGATTGCCTCACTAGTCATGCTTGGCTAAAACATTGGCCTAGTTCACCTAGAGGCCACTGACCTACAGAGACAGGCTTTGGGCCAGTCCATTGCACTATACTCAGTTTGGGGACTGGAGAGTCAGAAGGAGCTTGGGTGATCACCAAGTTCAATATACCAGTGGAGTGGTGATTTCAGCAACGTAGGCATTCTTCCTTGCGCTACATATCACTTCAAGTAAAAATATCTGGACAAATAGCCTGGGTGGTACCCCAAACCTCAGACTCCCCACTCAACCTTTTCAACCCCATAGAGTTCTAATTTTTCTGATGCTCCAAGGACTCAATGCCTGTGCCTGCCTGGTAAAAGCTTGGGCCCATACCCCTGTTGCTGCCCCTGCTGAAACTGACCCAGCGAGGAAGCAGAAGGGAGGATGACAGTAGGAGAATCAGAGAGGGAGAGCCAAGAGAATGGGCCAGAGATCTGATGGAAGAAAAAAGAAAGGGGCTTGGAGTGGAACATGGGCCAGTGGGCCGATGTATATGTGTTTGCTTGTTTCGTGTTTCATACTTACACAGACTGGTCCTTGGACCCGTGTATGCTGGCTGCAGTGTTCATATTAGCTGCTTGGCCCCCTTCAGAGAGCATTGCCAGCTCTGCTCCTACAACTGAAGTGAACCAAACAGTCGTAGGGAATAGGAGGTCAAGTGTAGAGGGACTAGGCCAGGGTGCCATTTCTTGAAATGAAAAGGAAGAGCACAGTTGTAGGTAGGTAGGTGGGGCAGGGTGCCAAGTTCCCACTTGCTCTTGAATACTAGGCTACTTAGACAACTGTTAAGTCAGCCCTACTTCATCTGGCCCACCCACTCATAATAAAGCCCTTGGCTGGTAACAGTGCTGACGTGCCCCAACCATGATAAGACTGGTCAGGAGAAGCTGGAAAAAATGAACAGAATTCATTCTAAGAGGGCTATTCCCTGGCCAGCTAAGCATGGCAAAGGAGCCTTTCAGACTGTTAGTGCATACATCTATCCTGGAAACAAAAGCCATCTTCATATTAAATCTACAGTTGGGTAGAACTAGAACAGAAGAGAGAGAATTTCAAGAGACAAAACAAAGAACTTACCAGCAGGTGTTGAGTGGCAGGTAATTGTAGAATCTTCTTTCTCCAGACTAGAGTGAAAAGGTCTGGGGAGAAAACAAAGATATATATTTCTATATTATGTACATATAAATATATGTAAATATACATATTTCAGTATTCAAAGATACATATTTAAATTATCATAGGGACCCAGTCATTACATTAAACACAAGTATAATTTGCAGCTATGTTGATTGATCTAAATGTCTGACTCATTTCTTTTAGTACTCCATACTGCTTTTTTTTTTGGGGGGGGGAAGCAATTGAGAGTAAGTGACTTAGCCAGGGTCACACAGCTAGTAAGTGTCTGAGGCTGGATTTGAACTTAGATCCTCCTGACTCCAGGGCTCCAGAGAGACCAAGGGGACACAGAGACTCTTCAATCAATGCTTATCAGTGGGATCAAAGATGTATGGAAGTCACTGCATCATCTCAAACACATGATGCTGTCATTGATTCCAGTTGGTGGAGGGAGCCCAAAACATTGCGGCCAATGCTAAATGCCTGCCTTTGTTGGTATAAGAGTAATGAGAAGCAAAAGCCAAGGAGCAAGGTAATTCTGAAAATAACCTGCTGAGTCATTCCCCAGAATAAGGAGGGCAAGGGCCCCCTGGACTGGGGACCCTTCTTGTTCATCTACATAATGGGGGCCCAGGGAGGAAGGTTTGTGCTGGAACAACAGAAAGGGTGAATTGAGTTGAAGACCTTGACAAAGGAGGCCCAGTAGTATCAGCTCTGGTTTGAAAAGTCTGCCTGTTTTAATAGGTGCCAAGATGTAGGATGCTACGTTTTGCTATAAAACAGTCCATATTTCTTAAAACCCAATTCAAATCCAGTAGCACTGAAATACAACAACGGGAATGGCAAGTGTTAGCTTATTTTTTTTTCTAATTCCCAGTTGTTAGAATTGTTACCTCACAGTCCTCCAAGCAACATTCTGGGCTAATTAATGCTAAGCTATCTCCACTGCAGTAATCCCCATTTCCCTCATTAGGAATAATGAGCGCCTCAGAGGCAGGCAGCTCTCATGGAGCTTAGATTCAGCATCAAAGGCTCAGATGACAGGTTCTGGGACCTCCTGGGACCCTGTCTTGGTAGGGGAGGAGAACAGACCTGAGAGCACTCCGTGTGACTGACCTTCACAATATCCCATACAAACAACCACTGGGCCATGTCAATCTCAAATAATGTGTACTCTCTCTGGGTGCCTTCCTCCTGAGCACTCAAAGTACTGGCCTTGGAGGACCAAATCAGCAGGGGACAGAGCACTGGTCTTGGCATTAGGAAGTTCGAATTTGGCCTCAGACACTTCCTAGCTGTGTGACCCTGGGCAAGTCATTTCACTCTGTTTGCCTCAGTTTCCTTATCTATAAAATGAGCTGGAGGAGGAAATGGCAAACCACTCTGGTATCTCTGCCAAGGAAACCCCAAATGGGGTCATGAAAAAACAAGTACACAACAACAATTTCACAGTAAGGACCAACAGCCACTTAGAGTTCTGGCTCTGCCTAGGGGCTGAGCAGTGGAGGGGACCCTTCAAACCCCCAATGAACAGGATTGTGACATCTCTACAAAGGCTTCTTTTTCAATCAAATACAGGAGGGCTCTCTCTTGGTAAAACTAGGGGGGAAAGAGAAGGCTGACTATTTTTGTATTTGCCTTGCGGCAATGACTTCTGTTTTTCCCATACTTCAAGATATCGATACTTCTCCCCAATCCCCCGACTATATTTTCTGTGATGCTTTACAGGCTCCAACCTGAGAATGCCACAGTAGGGAAAGGGAGGTAGGCTAGGGAGGAACCCGCCTATGGGCTGCCTTTGGGGTAGGAAGCAGGCCATCACAGAACTTCCTATGTTAAGTAATTATTCTTGCTACTTAGAGGGTAACCTAGGTTTCTCTATATGCTGATAGCACCCTCATAGCCTTGGATAGTTTGCCCTTTTGGGGGCTTGCTCCTCTTTTTGCATGAGTCAGGACTTTGCCATTCTCCATAACCAGTAATTTGTGGTCACCAGATCCATGAAGTGGATACAGAGACTTCTGCCCCCCCCCCCCGCAATCCAACATCACATTGTAAATTCAATTTAATGTCAGTATAACTGCAGAGCACCCTTCCTCTCCCCCCATCAAAGGCAGATGGCAAAACTTCAGCCTAGTTGATTTCCTTTAGATCAATTTCCCCTAAGGTAAATCTAGGGCCATGCTGAGCAATTTGGGAACCCAGGGCAATCTGGCAATGAATAATAAGTAAGGTCCAATTAATATGGTAACCATTCATCAAATTTGATGTTGCCAGGGAGGGCCTCATCTGAATTCTAATGGGATCATTTAGCATGAGAGGACATAGGAGTCAGGGTCCTTCCAACTTGGCTCATAATGAGGCCTTGGAAAATATTTGGAGCTGACTCTAAACTGTGGCCCAGCCTTCACTGGCAAGCTCTTGCCTGACCTCTGGGAGGTAGAGGCAATTTTATCACCTTCAAGGGGTGGCTCTTCTGGCTCCCGGCAGGACGAGTTCCACTATTTCACTTGGACTGTGTTGTTTCAAGATCTGGACTAGAATTCTGAGTGCCTTCAGAGTTCCCAGATGACCCTCGACCCAATCGCAATGACCAAATCAGAAACCCTCAATGGATATTTACTGAGGAGTTGTCTTTTTGCTTGGAAGAGCCAAGAAGCAGTGGGATTTTGACTGGGCCTCAAGAGTTGTCAGGAAACAAGTTATTATGTGGTGAGATAGCTCTATTTCCTACTGTTCTAGCGCATTAAGTCATACTGGTTATCTTTACCATCTAATTCTTTGAGGAGAAAGGTTCGCTGTGGTTCTATTGTTCTCCTGAGATCCTGAACCCAAATTTCCCATTGGAAATACTTGTAATTCATGATGCCACAGCATTTTAAAAATGCCTTCATTTTATTCTGGTGCTTCCATCTTGCAGTGATAAGTTGAAGTCCCTGACCTTGAGTGAAAACTTAATAGGATAAAACTGAATAGATTCTATACAGATTTGAGGAAATTTTGATCTTTAAACTGGGCAAACTGTCTAGAACTCCATGATGTGAGAATTCATCAACTCAAGTGGGTGCTGTGTGATAGAAAGTAGGGCAGCACAATTCAAAATAAAAGACTCTCAGGAGGAAGGTGTTTTGCCATGCAATAGACCATTTAGGGGAAGCAGAAAGCAGGATCGTTTCATGGCATGGTAATATTATCAAAACATCCCCCTCATGCACCAAGCACGTATGGGCACCGAGCAGAAACTGGTGGCAGTCTACTATCTTGCCTCAGTTCTGTAAACCTTTGTTGACTGACCACCAGAAAGGAAGAGCCTGTCCATCCAAATAATTCCTGGCCCTTGGGCTGGAGCCAGGCTGTGCCTTCATCTACTATGGCCCACGGGGTAACCATCAAGAGCCTACACTGTCACTTCTAGGGGTGTGAGACCGAAGTTTGGCCTGTGCACTTCTCTTTGGGCAAGATTGCTAGGGCCCAGACTTTGCCCTCTGGTCTCTCAATCAAGTGAGATGATATTTGGAACTGTCTGGCATGTAGTAGGCCTGCCTGCCTCTGTCCCCAATCTAGCAGTATGCCAGGATGGCGTGGGCCTGTTCCCTTTCTAGGGGCTCCTGGGATGCCAAGGGGAACTCAAAGGGAACCAGAGCCAAGGACCTCTTCCTCTTTGCCCTTACCTCCTTTCACCCAGAGGGCTCACTCCTCAGATCCCTGAGGTGAAAGTCTAAAGAGTAAATGGGGAGAATGATCAGTCCAGAGTGGGGAGCAGGGCTTCCCACATGCTGTGGTGGCAGCAACTTGGACAGAGGAGCTAAAAGAGGCAGATGCTGGGTAAGGGGAAGATAGCCTGCTATGGACAAGGCCAATGTGCTGTGATCAGAAGCCAGTTTGCCTGAATCCCAGGCTGGGCACCAACCATTATCTTGTATTCTGCTACCCCCTTGCTTCTGCAAGGCTAATTGGGGTGCTGCATTTGCTCCTGGGGATTCCTTCCGTCACACAGTCCATCCTTACCACTTCCCCTCCTCCGCCCCCCAGGAGCAAATGGTAAAATGAAGAAATCCTCCCTCTCCTTCTCCCTCTCTCTCTGTGGTGTTGGGTCTCTTTGGAGTGGGAAGGATTAAGTAACTTTCCCTAAGTCTCCAGCTTAGCTCCAAAATGCCTACCTGGGACAGTGAAGGTTACTAGCCTGGAAGTGCTGGAATACAGAGGAAATTGGATGCTTTCCCAAAAACCCAGACCATTATGACACTGAACACCTTGACAGAAATGGGCTGTCTGGCAATCAGGCAACCTCAGGGGCCAGAGGGGAAAGCTTCGGGCCAACAGCTCTACCATTAGTCCATGACACACTGAATAGGCTTTCTCAGCAGTGGCCCAGCTCCATATTAGGCAATTTGTCTGTGGGGTTTCTATTTGACCCCCACACAGCATTCAGGGGAGACATCCCTCTCCATTGTTCGAACAGTTTTCTGACATGGCTCCCTATGTAATTAGCACATGCTCTTATTAATGTCATTAGCATTCTTAGTCTAAATTCTTACTATGATTTCATCATCCTCATTGGCCTGTCCTCAAATGAAGAAAGGCTAATAATGTACTTTTAAATTGGTCTTGCATGGAAGAGGAAATTAATTTCTGCCTCCTGGACCTGGCTAACAATTTCCGAATCCAGTTTGTAATAGCTTCGTTCTCCCTCCATCCCGCGCCCCACCCTCCATAAGAGGAGGGCCATCTCATTCCCACCCAGGAATATATCGACATGGGCAATTTACTGCAATTTCACCTCTGACCGTGGAATTTTGTAGGTGGATAGGTGGAGAAATCGAACTCTTAGCATTTTGAGATGAGATGAAAAGTGGGTTCAGGGCTGAGTTATGACTCAAATTTGAGTTTCCAGATACCAAGCCCCATGCCCCTCCCCTCCACTGTGTCGTTAGCTTCCCTTGATCACTGTCTCCTTTTAAGAAAAACAGAAGAGCTCATGGAGCAGGGAAATGCTAAGGTCCAACTGTGAAGTTGCCACTTT